CACCTGGAGACGTGCACATGGTCTTGAGAAGTCCTGGGTAGAAAAGTAATTCCAGAGCTTCCTCCATCGCCGCTGCCTCGCGGGCACATTTTCTGCACAATGCCTATGGCAGCTCTCTGGACCTGTTTGCCGTTAAGTGCTGCTGAGTCGGGTCCAACTCACTGTTGTGGTTAAGTGTCATCAAGTTAGTTCCAAATCATAGCGACCCTGTAAAGGGTTTCCAAGGAGCTGCTGAGGAATTTGAACCTCCACCCTGCAGTTCAAATCAACTTTGTCTTCTAGTGTTTATTCTACACTATCCACCAGGACAGCAAACTTTTACAGGGTGTTCGATGCTGCAAATCCTGTGCAAACGGAAAGCCTCATATTTTTCCCGCGTAATGACTGGTGGGCTCAAACTGGTGAATTTATGGTTCACAGTCCAGAGCATATACCATAGAGCCACCGTGCTCACATTTAACTCTCCCTATGGTGTTGTGGGTTAGCACACTAGACTGCAAGGTCAGTTTGAACCACAAGGTTGGTGGTTCAAACTTACCAGCCGCTCCTCTGAAACCCTACATTCGGTGTCTATGAATCGGAACCAACTTGATGGCACACAATAACAACAACAGCTCTTCAAAATATTCTCTGGATCACAAAATAGTCTGAGCAATACGATGCCAACCCCCTAGATGCTGCATGCAGAGGGGGAGGGAGATGAGAGGCGCTTCCTAACTTACTCTCCAGTACCCTCTTTCCCGCTTTTAGGACCTTTCTGTGGGAAACTAGACATCCCCATTAGTGACCATTTTATATAGTCTCTAGTCACCCAATTCACTTGCCTGGATTAGCGCTAACTTTATAAACATTAAATGTATATGCAGAAAGTGTTATACTAGACATCAAACCCCAAAAAAAGTTCTTAAGAAACCAATGATCCTATTTCTAAAAATGATTTGAAAATTTGGGGGATAATCTTCTCAAAAGTTCAGCTTCCAATCTGTCATCATTTGTCTTCCAGGTCCTGTTCTATCCCGCATCCC